TTGAAGATCAGACGTTTTGTATAATGTACCGATTCTGACCTTGAAAAGAGAAAAATATGTCTGATCTAAAGTCAGGCAGAGAAAATAGATTTTCTTTTCTGCTGCATGGATGAATGCATTCAGAAAATAAAGATTTCATTAAAATTGCTCCATGATGTTAAAGGCACAGGTATGGAGTTGATTTTGTTTCATTATTGTTGCAAGCTAAGCTTATGTTTAATAAATCGCAATTTGAACTCATTGGATATAGAAAACTTTGTGGTTTTCTCAGATTTTAGTTTTTCAAAATATAATTTTTTTTAATTTTCTTTTTTAATGGATTCCATTAAGACTGCGTCTCCGGCTGCACCGTAATCTTGGGTTTTGGGAAGTGATCTGGATGCAGAATAAAAATCATTTCATTACATATTTCTAACTCGAATCATTAAAGAAATTGGAAACAAAACTATGGAGTGATTTTTGTTCCATTATTGTTGCAAGCAAAGAATGCATGCAAATAAAAATAAAAAATGTAATCCAGAAATAAAACTTTGAAAATTTTTAAATTGAACTTGTCTGTTTTCTAAGATATTTTTTTGTCTAATTCATTTCTCATATAATTTTTCTGACACAGATTTCTTTTTTTACACATTTGAGATTTCTCAGATTTTAGTTTTTCAAAATATAATTTTTTTAATTTTCTTTTTTAATGGATTCCATTTTTTTTTATGATTACTGTTATTCATATTTTGGTTTAGACATTGCATCCTTTTTGAATTTAGTTTCCCAGATCATATTCTCTTCACATCAGGCTGCAAATTCTAAAGCCTCTTTCCTATTGAAAATAGCGGGCTAACGCGCATTTTTCAAAAATGGGTCGACCTGCTAAAAATCTGCATGTGGCTCCTTACCCACTGGCTAATAAAGCCGATCTGACCCCCCCCCCTCACCCCCAACCCCCAGCTTCTTGTCTGTTGACATCATCACACTGGGTTAGCGTTTGTGATGTCACCAGTGCAATAGAAATCAGGAGAGTAAACAACGGAGAGCAACATGAAAGGCAGCCAGGGCGTAGTCAGTGTGCGTTACTGTTTCTCTCTAGCTGCCTGACTCCCTCTCACCAGAGCTGCTCCATGTTTATCAAATGGAAACAGTTGGTTCTGCTTGTTAGATCAGAAGCGAGTGGCGCGGTGTTGACGTCCGTACGGTGGCTTCAATGGTATCACGTAATTTAGCACGTCAACCCGGCTCTGGTGTTCCCACAGCATGCCGTTCAGAGCAGAGGAGATTTTAATTCGGGTCGCTGTCCGAATAATTTTACCCGAGTAGACACGCGTCAGCTAGCTGTTCCCACTGCCACTAAAAGCCCATTGATCCTGCATTTAAAATGTATTTTTTTAGCCATTCGGAAAAGGGTAAAATATGATCTTGACGCACACTTTGACCAATAAAAAGATGCTAACATCCATGCAGGAAGAAGTGCGTCTTCGTTCCAGAGGAAGATAATATGATCTGGAAAATCCATGATACTCAATCTGAAAAAATGAAACTTAAAATCTAAAATCCGGAAAAAAGGAAAATAAGTTTTTCACAAAATAACACTTAAAAACAATCCAAAAACAAAAAACAATCTAAGAGCAAATGTATCTTCCCTGGATGACATTTTATTCCGTTTTAATTTATCCAATGTTCCTAGCGACAATAACGGAACAGAATTCACTCCATACAGAGTAAAGTTTGGCGTAGGCCCGAACGATGAAGTCACCAGTGTGTGGTGCCGACTTTCCCAGCACACCATAATGAATTAGACCTGGTGTGCTGGGCAAATAAAAAAACAACGAAGCTCTGTTGAAACTCGACTTACAGCTGCTGAAGGTTCTTCATCTGGGAGAAGGCGTTGGCTTGGATGGACATGATGCCATTATTGCTCAGATCTCTACGTGGAGACAAAGAAAAAAAAGGCATTAGCTCTGATAAAGAGTTTTTTTTGCAGATGACTTAAATAGTTAATAAAAAGTGAAAAAACAAAACAAAAAAAACAATAAAGGTCCTGGCAATGGATGGCTGCGGTAATGAAAAGAGGCCAGACTCTGAGCTGCTTTGAGCTCTGGCATCGGCACTAATTGGAATCAAATGTAGCTCTGAGAGAGTCATAAACAGACCGAGTTCTCTCCACCTCGTCTCGCTTTGAGATCGATATATCTGCCTCACATGTAAAGATGCTAATGGCAGCATTTCTTTCCTGACTCCACATCAAAGCAAAGGAACAGAGGACGGTCTGGATGCACGGTTCAAGCAGGAACCCGTCTATGATTCAGTCCGCTTTGTTTGGAGCTCAGACTCTCCAAAACAATCTGTGAAACGGGAAGCCGACTCACAGATGCTGCAGCTCATCCAGGCCTGAGAAGGATTTTTTGGTCACCGAGCGAATCTGGTTCCCCTGCAGGAATCTAGAAAACAGGCTGAATCAGTTAACAAGTTTTGGTTTGAGCTTTATTATTGCAATTCAATATAATAAACTCACAGTGTTTTCATCTTTTCGAGGGCAGAAAACGGTCCATTCATGTCTTCAATGGTCCAGGAGATTTCATTATTCTGGAGATCCCTTTAAGTAAAATAAAAAACCCAACTTTAAAGCAACTGAGCTTGCAAATAAAAGTGTATTCATGAGTGCAAAGGAAATGTCTAGACATTAAGTTTTTACTCAAAGTGGTGCCTTAAAAGGGAAACCCCGTTCTGGTCAACATGGCGCTTTTAAGTTAGCAACCGAATTTTTGGGGTTGTGCGAAAACGAAACACAACAAAAGAAGCTTGTAAATCTCGCTCAATGGCATCGACAGAACTAATCGCTGACAATGAAGGGATTATGTGCTTTTATCTGTGTAAAACATGGCAGAGTTGTGAAGAAATATTGTTATTTCTTCAAAATAAATATCATATGTCAGCAAAAGGTCCAAAGTATGAAGATAAGAACGCGTAAGACTACGGACATTTTGAAAAAAAAAACCTAATCGAGTCTAAGATAGCATTAGAGGCTGCATTTAAGCTATCACCTTCAAATTCAGCATGAATTTTGAAAATCTCCTACTATAACAAACTTGTCATTATTCAACACTAAATCAGAAGGTAAAGACCTGATAGATTATACAAAATTACTAACAGAAGAGATTTTGCTGCTTTAAAATTTGGATGTGGGAAACTACAGGTTGAATGTTCAAAAGAGTTGTAAATTGGGGATGCATGATATAATCGGCCCCCTATCGGTATCGGCCTTAAAACTGAATATCGGACATCGGCC